TAGTAGAGTAGAGTATCTGGAGTAGTACTAAACCTACTATTGGGTCGAGTAGAGTATCGGCAGTAGTAGTACTAAAGGTTTAGTAGAGTAGAGTGTCTGGAGTAGTACTAAACCTACTATTGGGCCGAGGAGAGTATCGGGAGTAGTACTAAACCTAATAGTAGGTTGAGTAGAGTATCGAGACTTCTACTAAAGGTTTAGTAATAGTAGAGTATCGAGACCCTACTAAAACTTTAGTAGAGTAGAGTATCGAGACCTCTACTAAACCTAATAGTAGGTTGAGTAGAGTATCGAGACCTCTACTAAACCTAATAGTAGGTTGAGTAGAGTATCGAGACCTCTACTAAACCTAATAGTAGGGTGAGTAGAGTAGATACTCGAGTATCTACCCGAGAGTAGGTTGAGTAGGTACTCTACTGAACACACCCTTGAACATTTTGACAAAAAGTCGGTCAGTTTAAAACGGCCCTAACCCTCCTGTGGTCCCAGTCCCTCCGCAAAAAAAATGCCGAAAAAATATTCGTCAGCCATTGGTCAAGGGGTTACAGTCCCTCCAAAGAATCTGAGCTCCTGGCCAGAAAAAGGGTGACTTGGCTTCAGTACAAAAGGTGTCCCCAATCCCCAATACACGTGGGGACACTTTTCATACTGTCACCAAATAATCTAGTACTAGGCGATGTACAGTTTTGCGAACTGGGGGGCACGCGGGTTGGGAGATGTGTACAGCAAGTCAGAGGCCCAGGAGAGGGATCACACAGGATATAGTCTAGACTACACAGCGTACCACCTCAGCCAAGCATGATAGACTAAGGGTTCTCACGTACGTTGCATACAGCGGAGCCTAGGTTGACTACAATGCGGTAAACAGGCCTTTTGAGTGCTGTGTCCCAAAGTGTCTCCAAATCGTCCTCAAAAAGGCTTCCAGTACTAGACTAGGAGGGTTGAGTTTAAAGTTTGCAAGGCAGGTGGTTCAATGTGAAAGAAAGCTAGTCAATACACTGTTTCGGAAATGCGTTTTGAAAAGTTCACTTTCACTTTTTAGGGAAAAGAGCCAGTTTATGGCCGCCCTAAAAATGAACTTTCGACCCCAGGAAGATTTTTTTAGCACGAAGGCCAGCTGGCGTCTGTAAAAGCTGAACATTTCCGTTCCTGTTCAAAGTTCATTTTTCATGAAAGAAAGGGAACTTAGCAGGACAGTAGTAGCACAGCAGCACCGCACAGACAGACCGCACAGACAGACCGCACCAGACCACACCAGGGCGAGTAGCGACGGGAAGGATGTCGACCAACGCAGTCCGCCAAAGCTCGAGGACCGTAGCCCCCCTCTTTCAAAGTTCGTGATAGGGTTAGCGACGACCAGGAGACTTCTTTTCTGGCAGCAGGGCAGCGGAAGGCTAGGGAACTGGAGGAGTTCGGCGGAGAAGAGTCGAGAGACAGCAGTGGCGGCTCTGGCAACCCACCTCCTCGTGCTGGTGGTCTTGAGGAGGATGGAGTACAGGTCCCTCAACACCGCGTGGCAATGTGCAGGCTAAGCCACCAAGGAAGGGCAAGTGGACGCTTCCATGCATGATCCGCGTTCCTGAGAAGAAGGGTAGTAGATAAGTCTCTACTGCTGTGTAGATGCGAGAGCACGGCTCTCTTTCTATACATGGTCCATCTTGGGTCTAGACCGCCGTATGTCCTGCTGCTGTTGCCTTGATTCGCAGATAGGATATAGCTCTGGCATGATGCGATAGGATCCAGCTCCGGCATGATTCGAATTTGCAGTTGTACGGCCGCCATCTGGTTCGCTTCGCCTCCCTCGAGATTGCTGCTGCTGCTGCTGCTGCTGCTGCTGCTNACAAGAAGAAGACACGCCCGGCCGCCGCATCCCATCAACTTAGTTAGGCTCAACACCGCCATACTCCCACATACGGGACGCAGCCAAGCAGTTGGAGCACGTCCTTTGATTGTCCCTTGATGGACAGTGTTAAGGAGTGTTGCTGTATGGCACAGATAGGGCACACAGTCGGTCTAGATTAAGATGGGGGACGTCAGGAGGTATACCCTC